CTTCCTGCTTTTTCTGCTCCTTCTTTTTCTGATCCTCCTTCTCCCTTTCCTCCTTCTCCCTCTTCTGTTCTTCCTTCTCCCCTTTTTGCTTCTCCTGGTCCTCCTCCTTCTGCTTCTCCTCCTGCTCCTCCTCATCCTGCTCCTCCTTCTCCTGTTCCTCATTTCCCTGCTTCTCCTCTTCCTCTTACTTCTCCTGCTCCTCCTGCTATTCTCCCCCCTGCTCAACCTTCTCTTCATGGATTGAAGACTGTCACTATGAGTCCCTGTGAGGTTCTTTTGGATTGGCCTGCTATTCTGAGTTTTAAGAAAGATGCTACCTTCTGTATTCTATCCATTTCTTTTTTTCTGTCCTCTGGATGCTGAGTAAAGCAAGCATGCTCTCTGGAATTCTGGACTTCCTTACACTTTCTTGAATATTCCCCTGTCTGCCATGTGACTGGCCTCTCTGTTGGCTTAATCCAAATGACATGTTTTTTTTTTCTCCTTTTTACCTTTCCCCTTTGAGCAGCTACCAACACTTGTAGCTTGCTTCCCTTGGATTTTTATTTTAAATTAACAAAATTATCTTCAAACTAAAAAAGAGAGTGAATATAATTCTAAAAAAAGACTTGTTTTTCTTACATTCAGGAGAAGCAGTGTGGAGGCTGATAGAACCGAAAGGTTTTATGTTACAGAACTATTGACTTGAATTATACCAAGACCAACTTTAGCTCAACAACTTTTAAGACAATTTGAATTATATGTCTTTATATCACAAAATATGACAAGGTGAGCTAAAGCATAATTAGCATGGTTTAATAGTATTTCATTATTACCTTCACCATCAAACCATTATAATAATGATCATAACTATCAACATCATCTCACTTTTTAAAGAAATTTTTAATTTTACCTTTTTGAACATTTCATGCACAAAACACTGTATGTCCATCATTTCTACCCCTCCCTCTTGCAACCCTGCCTGTGTTCCTGTTTTAAATTGACGATTTCATCTATAGTTACTGTTACATACTTGCCTACTATAACATGCTGAATATGATTAATGATGTGTGTATGTACAAATGTCATCTTGTTTTATCTTACTGTTTTTCTCATTTGGTTTTGCTTTGGTAACTAAAACTATATCTTTAAAAGAGATGAGTTGGATTTTTAAAAGCATATTTGCTCTGGAATAATATTTTTGTAGACTGTGAAGATGTGTCTTTGCCAAGGACCCTTCTGATTTGTTTACTAAAGTGCTAAATGACCAACAGTTAGGCAGGAGGTATAGTTGGAGCTTCCAGGTATAAAGAAGACTCTGTAAAGAAAAGAGGTAGAGAAGTCAGCCAGACCCAGGATAAGTTGGAATGAAAGAATGAGATATAGGGAAAAGCCACCTGGTATAATTTTGATTAATAAAATTCTGGGTTAATTTAAGTTATAAGGGCTAGTATGTAACAAGTCTAAGCTAAGACTGAACTTTCAAAATTAATAAGATGTCTCTTCATCATTATTTGGAAGCTGGCTGGCAGAACAGAGAAAGATTCATTATACACATTGTTGCTCTCATATGTTTACAAGATGGGCATTCGTAGGAAATCATAACCTGACACCTGTTCTTTTCAATGTACTGCATATGATCTGACCTGGTGCAAAGTTTGAGAACATGGGGAATATTGGCACCAGGAGATAATGCAGTCTCTGGATTAGACATATATCTGAGCTCCCCACAGAAATCACAAGCTTAGCACAAAGGGAAATCTGGTCCTGATTCTGGTGTGTTCAGTCTCCTCCTTCCTCCAGAGGACCAAGACAGGGGAGAATCCTGAGTGTTCCTTCATGCTTTTTCCAAGGAAACCTTCTTTTATTAAAACAATTTGCAATTTGGCATATTTACAAAATGATGGATTTCACTATGGCATTTTACACATGCTTTCTTCTAATGTGTCTCCTCCCTACTGCTATCTCATGTCTGCCTTTTCTCAAACCGCTTGTCTCCTTCCTCCTCAGCCTATATCTGATTTCATACCATATTTATTCCACTGATAACTTTCAAATTCAAGTTTTTATATTAACAGTATTTTGAATTTTCATGTGTTCCTTGTGCACAGTGCTGGATTTTACAAAGACATTTCCATATGAGTACATAGAGTACTTTGAACATACTCACCCTGGTATTCCCATCCCTACTTCTCTCATCCCCATTTCTCCTTATTACTATTGACAGTTGTCTTCTACTCTCATGTCATATACATATAAACATATAATTTTATATACATAAAACCTAGACTCTTGCATTTCCCCTTCTCATGGTGATTCATACATTTTTTTTTAGGGTACTCCTTGATACCTAGCTTCTCCAGAGCTGAGGATTGTAGTCTGGTTATTATTTGCTTTATATCTAGTATCCACCTAGATAAGTACATACCTTGTATGTCTTTCTGGGTCTGGATTAACTTATTGAGAATTATTTTTTTCTATTTCTTTACATTTGCCTACAATTTTTATAATGTCATTTTTTCTTTATAGCTGAGTAATACTCCATTGCGTAAATGTACCATATTTTCATTATCCATTCTTTGGTTGAGGGGCATTAGGTTGTTTCCAGGTTCTGGAAGTAGGATTAATGCTATTAATATAGATGAGCAGGTATCCTTGTGATATAATTGGGCATCCTTTATGTATATGCCCAAGAGTGGTAATGCTGGGTTTTGAGGTAGATTGATTCTCAATTTTCTAAGAAATTGCCATACTCATTTCCAAAGTGGTTGTACAAGTTTGCACTCCCACCAGCAGTCTGACTCCACGTCCTCTCCAACATATGTCTTCTTGGTGGTTTTGATCATAACCATTCTGACAGGTATAAGATGATATCTCAGAATCATTTTGATTTACTTTTCTCTGATGACTAAGGATTTTGAGCAATTCCTGAAATGTCTTTTGGCCATTTGAGAGTCTTCTGTTGAGGATCTTCTGTTTAAATCTCTGCCCCATTTCTTAATTGGATTATTTGGTATTTTGATGTACAGTTTTGTTCAGTTCTTTATATATTTTGGAGATAAGTTCTCTGTCTGATTTAGGATTAGTGAAGATCTTCTCCATTCAGTAGGCTGACATTTTGTCTTATTGACCATGTCCTTTGATTTATAGAAGATTTTCAGTTTCAGGAAGTCTCATTTATTGATTATTGGTCTCAATGTCTATGCTACAGGTGTTATGTTTAAGAAGTGGTCTCCTGTGCCAATGCATTCAAGGCTACTTCCTAGCAGTGGTAGAGAAGAGGAGATAGGGATGTGAATATGATAGGCAGGAATGGTTGAGGTGGGGAATGGATAGAGTAGGAGAACAATAAAAGTGATACCTTGATAGAGGGACCCATTATGTAGGTAGGGAGAAACTTATGCTTGGGAAATTCCCAGGAACCTACTAAAATGACCCCAGAGAAGACTCCTAGCAGTAGTGGTGAGGGCGTCTTAATTGGCACCCCAAAAGAAGTCTTGTAATCATATTGGTAAATATCCTGTCATGATAGAGTCTTCATCCAGTAACTGACAGAAGCAAATGCAGAGAGCCACAGCCAAGCACCATGCTGAGCTCTGAAAGTCTAGGGGAAGAGAGGCAGGAGGGATTATTATATGAACAAGAGGGTCATGATCATAATGAGGAAATTCATAGAGACAATCTCAGAGCAAACTCCCTGATACTTTGGCTCTTATAATCTTTCTACCAATTCTTTATTATATAGTTTGTATATATGTATTTAGGAATATATATATATGTATATATACATATATATATATGTAAAAACAATTATTTAAAAAAGGGTCATAAATTTGAAAGAGAGCAAGAAGGGATACACAGGAAGGATCAGAGGGAGGGAAGAGCGGGAACAATGATGTAATTGTGTCATATTCTCAAAAAATAAAATAAGAAATTAAAAAATACAAATAAAATTAAGCAAATATCAACCACTAGTGACTTTGACTCAGGTCAGCTACTTGTAGCCTTTTAGTTAGTTTATAAAATCATAGACGTCCAAATGGTTTTTCCTACATTCTTAGTTTTTGTTCAACCTTCTCCATCACACTCACTTTCCTCCATCCCTGCCCCATTTAAACATTTCAATCTCTAGTATCTAAAAGTTTACATTTACAGCATGTGTGTTCTACTATTTCTGCTCCCTATATTCCCTCTTTTCTTCACACCTTTTTTGTTTCTTTTCTTGCTTTCAGAGATCTATCTAAGAGATTTTAACTTAATACAGAAAAGCAAACTTTCAAGCTAGGATCTCATGTGTAAGAGAATATGCATTATTTGTTCAATCTGGACCTGGGTTATCTCATTCAGTATAATATTTTTAGAATCATCTATTTATATAAATATTGCTTATTTTCATGCTTCTTTAGTGTGGAATTAAATTCCATTCTGTATATTGTCACATTATTTATTATCCATTCTTCAATGAACAATCATCTTGGTTAATCCTGTTTCTTAGCTAGTGTGAATAGAGCAGCAACTAACACAAATGTACAGATATCTCTGTGAATACTCAGAGGGGTTATAGTTGGGTCATATTGTTCAATTTTTAGATTTTTTTAAAACCCTAACTGATTTCTCACCAGCATTTGTTGTCATTTGTTTGACCTCACTGAAGTTGAGAACAGAGTAAAGGTCACTACAAACTGAGAAAGAGAAGGAACAGGAGCTGGGGTAACATATTACTAAATATGGTTTGATAGAAGTACTTTATAAGCAGACTAGGGTGACAATAATACATAATAATTTATTTTATGTTATACAAAATAGAGTAGAATTTAAAGATTCTAAATACAAAGAGATGATAAATTTTTGATGTCATTGAAATCCTTATCATTCTGGGATTTTCATATACATTATCTACATATATTATTACACTGTTCTTATTTCTTTAGTACAGAAATTATCCATTTGTAAATTCTGATGCAGGGTATATCAATTAAAATCACTTAGGAAAAAGAAATCCATATGAAATATTTCTAGATATTACTATATAACTATAGAAAATCACTAAACTTATTTAACCATAATGTGTCCTTATTTGACCCAGAAGTTTCTTAATAACTTTTTTGACGTCTTCATTTCTGAGAGTATAAATTAAAGGGTTCAACAGAGGTGTCACTAGGGTGTAAAACACACTCACAATTTTGTCAATGGGAAAGGAGGTCATTGGTCTTATATACAGGTATGAGCAAGGTACAAAGAATAAGAAAACAACACAGACATGAGAAGCACAGGTAGATAGGGCTTTGTGACGTCCTTCTGAACTGTGTTTCCTCAGGGAGTGAAGGATGACTATATAGGAAGCAATAAGTATACAGAAAATAAGTAAACACATTGACCCACTGTTGGCAGCAATCAGGGGCCCTATAATGTGAGTGTCAGTGCAGGCCAACTCCAGGATTGGTATTAAATCACATATAAAGTGATTAATGGTATTGGGGCCACAGAAGGGTAACTGGGCAATAAATGTGGTCTGTATCATTCCATGAACAAATCCCACAATTCCAGCTGCTACCACCAAGGAAACACACACAGAACGGTTCATGATGGTCATATAATGCAAGGGCTTGCAGATGGCTACATAGCGATCATAGGCCATCGCAATCAGCAAGATGATTTCAGCTCCTGCAAAAAAATGCTCAGCAAAAAGCTGAGTCATGCAGCCATTGAAGGATATGCTGCTCCTCTCAGAGATCAAGTCATAGATCATTTTGGGTGCTATGGAAGAAGAGTAGAAACCATCTATGATGGACAAGTAGGACAGAAAAAAGTACATGGGAGTAGCCAGGGCCGGACTGGTGAAGATGGTGACTGAGATGAGTGTGTTACCTGCCAGTGTGATCAAATAGATTACTAAGCATACAATAAATAAGAGTTTCTTCAGATCTGGGTCTTGAGTCAAGCCCAGGAGAATGAATTCTGTGACATTGCTCATCCTTTTCATCACTTTAGTTCAGGTTGTGAGCAAATGGTCATCTGAAAAGAAACCATAGGCTGTCTCAGTGATGATATTTAAAAGGAAACACTGAAAAAAAAATCCATCATCTCATTACGTCTGGTCCCTGAGGTCAATATAGCTTCACTTCTTCTCATCTCTGCAGATAGTATCACATCCTTTGCACTTACTAAGAACAGAAGTAGGTTCTATTATTCCTAATGAACTTTTGTGAGACAGTGACAGGACCTTTTATAAATACTACAAGAAAATTGTCATTATAATTGATGACAAAGGTTACTTCCAAATTTTCTTCTAACCAGTTCCTTAACTGGTTTATTTCATTGTGTTTTTGGACAGAAACTATCATCAGTATCAATTATTTTGAAGCTTTGTTTGTCTATTTGCATAGATTTTTATACAAATGCAATATTTAATGAACAACAACTGTTTATTACACACTAAAAGGACAAGTGTTGCTACACTTAAAGCTCTCATACTCTTTAACCGACAATTCTTTTTTTTCCCATATAAATGCATCTGCTCCTAGAGTTAGAAATGTGACTTTGGATGGGGCTATCTTCTTTCTGGATGCCAAAGCACCATATTTGTTTAGCTCAATGTGCATACTGAATTCGAGAAACAAGATTTTGTGCCTGGTTCTCTATGGCAATTATTTCATTGTTTCAATGTTTCTTGTCTCCATATCTGAATGTTTACATGTAAGTACCACAAAATATCTTCTAAACATCACAGTATTTTATGAATAATTTTTTCTTGTGTTTGGACTTTGATCAATTATAGGATTATTCTCAGATTTAGGTACATATTTCCTCCCTAATCACATATTAAAAGTAGATATTTTTTACCCTTAATTTCTTGTTGATAAGATACAAATGTCAGTATTAGTTAAGACACCACCCTTTTTCCTTTAACAGTAAATAAATCCAAAACAGGATAATTTGCAGTTTTCCTTGTCTAGTTGGAGAAATGTTGAGGATAGTATAATGTATTCTTTTCAATGAACTAAATGAAATTTTCAAGTATGAATTAGAGTTGTTACTAATGAGCTGAGATATTTTATACTTCTTTATCTTTTTCATTAAGACCTACCCAAAATAAAACCAAAAATTTCCTCAGTCTATCCCAGCCTCAAAAAATAAAATTCTGGATAGAGTGCTCATCAGCATAATTTTTCAGGCTCTTCAGAGTGAAGAGAAGGAGAAATGAGAAGAAGCCCATTTGGTTTTTAATTTGACTTAGTCCAGAGTGACTCTACACTCACTGTGTATGATGTCTATAGATTGGGACAATATAGTTAATAATTCTCAATAAATTTAGTTCAAAAATTTTAAATTTATAATGACAGTGCATAAATCATGAAGAGGGAAAATTTTCAAGGCATTACAAACAACCATCTAGAATCAATGCATTTAGTGAGACAGGGACATTAAACTTTGCATTTTAGAAATGATTCCAATCATTCTCAACATCACATAATTAAGTAAAATTACCAATAGTATTTCCATACTATTGTGTCTAAATTAATTTCATAGCAAAATAGAAAACTTCAAGGGAAGCATATAACTGTAAAGTCTTCTTCAGGGAGAATAAATAGGCTAAATTAAGTTAATCTTAAATTTTGGGAAAAAGATTTAGGTTTCACTTACCAGGTTGTAGTTGGTTGTGGATTGCTGTTTGTTGATTGATTACTGTCATTGTTTCTTCTCCTCTAAGCACAGCCAGTACAGTGTTCAGTAGACTCTCTAAGCTAACATTGAAATTATCATTTTTCTATATAATTATATAATTTAGACATTTTTATTTATTTACCTTTTGGTCTTATTGCCAGCATTTACATAAAAAATGAACTATTTCAGTTAGGAACTTTGATATTACTAGTGTTTACTTCCTTTTGTCTTGATTTTGTGTAATTGGTGGTGTGAATATACACGAACTTACACACACACACACACACACACACACACCCAACATTAGTAGATTATATTCTTTCCAGATAACAATGCTGTGAATAAAGCCTAATTACTCAAATCAAAAAAATCTTAGTATATTCAACTTTGACACATATGAGAGAGTAAAACCAAATGGTTTAGACTCTTTTCCTTATACTTTTGAGCATGTTTCCTGCTTCCTAAGAGTCTATGAACAACATGGAGAGAGAATTCATATCATTCCTCTACCCCAGCTCCTCTTTACCTCCATCTCCCTAGAAACCTGTCCATACCCAGAATAGTTCCTCTTAAGCAGATCTTCATTTTATCGATTCACACTGTGCTCCAGTCATCAACACAACGACTTTTTGTTTTAATTCTTGATGCTAAAGACATACTTAAATAGATTTGCATTCTAAAAGGTCTGGTGATGTTTTGGTTTAGCAAGTACCCAGAGGATTGGTAATTGTCTCCTATGAAATTTTCACCAAGGCCTTTTGATTAACCCCACTTGGTTCACCAGACATCATTACCAGTGGCTAGTTCCAGAAATTCATTTGGGTTATAAATTGAATTCAGGTTCTTGTATTCTGGCAAGTGTTCTGCCAATGAACTTCATATAGCCCCTCCTTATTTATGTCCTGTTTCATTTAGAGTAATGACTTTAATTCACTTATGTTGGAATATAGGCTTAAATTTGATTCCTTTTAGAGACTAAGGCAGGTTTCCATGAAAAAACTTCTTGAATCAGATGGCTATGTTTATTAATTCTTCCTACATCTTGCAGGACTATAAAAGCACTTCTTGAACTCTTCCAGAAAACTGAGAAGGAAAAACACTTCAAAACTAATTTTCTATGGCCAACACTTAATATGGTACCTCAATTAGACCACACTCTACAAAGAAAACAGCTGCCACTCTCAACAAACCCAAAACCGAACTTGGACTTCTAGATAAGATTGCGAACTACATGCTTCTTCTCAGTGTGAACCAGTGAAGGGAGAGTTGAAAACAAGGAAATAGTAAAAATGAAGAGATTTCCACAGAGAAACTTAAGAACTTGGGAAAATCATGAAAAAAAATGACATAATAACAAAGAAAAGCAGAATGAAATGAAGCAAAACCCACATGACTATGGAGAACTTGCCATCAGAGACAAGACGAGGAATCCTACTGCCAGTCCAGCTCAGCCAGTAGCTTGGTGCCAAAAATAGATAGTGGAGCCAGTTCCTCCAGAGGCCAAAGAGGGAATTGCAACAGGATTCAGACACTTGTAACATTATGTTGAGGATCAACCTTGACAAAAATACCACCTGTCAGGCTAGGGGCACGGGAATTTACAAATATTAGCAAAGAATACGAAAAGACGAATAAAAGTAATTAAACAGAAACATATAGAATAGTAGTGGGAGGGAGTTTCAGTGAGTACTGAAATCAGTCACATTTAATTTCCAATTGCTTAAAATATCTCTGGCCCTAAAAGGTAAGAGTCAGATAAAAAAAAAAAAACTGCATCTATATGATACAAGGAAATGAACAGACCAATTGAAGGTTGGTGCTACATCCATAGATAAACTTTCATTTGCTAGAAAAAAAACAAGTCATGTTCACACCCTAGACCAAAAAAAATCTGTAGGAAAACCACTCCCTGGGTGGAATCAAATGTTATCTTCATAAAGGACCTGGAATCCTAGTTGGACCCTTAGATTTTGTTTGAGGTAGAAATATATGTACTTCTATATTCCTGAAATACAAGGTCTGGATATTTGTCACACCTGTTGACAATAACCTTGAGAGAGGAGAACTTTCTGATTTTACTCTAAGTGGGACCTTTGAGGTAGGAATGCAATAACTTTAAAGGAATAGAGGTAAGTTCCAACTCTCTGACCTTTGGTCAATGTGGAACTAGGCTCACATTCTTGGGCCTCCACAGCAATCTAATCCAGAGATTAAAGAGTACTCAATAGATCTCTGGATAGTGCTGAATGGGGGATATGGGGATTTAAAATAGAGAGATTAACAATGCCTTCATCTTTTCTCCTCTGTCATGGTACAAAAGAGAAAGTAATGGGATATAGGTAACCTGGGAATGATCTAAACTTCAAGAAAAATTTAGAATGCAGCAGGAGCTGAACTCAACTTGTGAAAATTCAAAAAGAGAACAGTTCTTTGGTTCATGGTCTCATATCCAGAGGGAGACATGGAAGGGCTACACAGAAACTTGTGTAGGACCTGGTGCAGTTATTGTTGGACAGTCTGGTTATATACACCCTTGTACTTCAAGCATTTAATGTGTTGTAAGGTATAGGTTGTTATAAAAATCCCTTTTATGTCTGTTTTTTCCTAGACCAACTATACACTATTTTTTCATAGTTTATTAAATTATAAAATTTTCCATTTCTGCCCCTCCTCCCAACACCCTCCCACTCCCCCCACTCCCTCTCCTCCTCCCTTTCCATCCCTAAGAGCAGTCAGGGTTTCCTGCCCTGTGGGAAGTTCAAATTTCTCCCCCCTCCCTCCAGGTCCAGGAAGGTGAGTATCCAAACAGACTGGATCCCAAAAATCCAGTATATGCAGAGGAAACAAGTCCCAGTGTCACTGTCAATGGCTTTTCAGAAAGACTCCGGGCCAGCCACATTCAGAGAATCCGGCCACATTCAGAGAATCTGGTTGGATCACGTGCTCGTTCAGTCCCAGTCCAATTGGCCTTGGTGAACTCTCATTAGATCAGTCCCCTTGTACCAGTGGGTGATCGCACCCCTCGCGGTCCTGATTTCCTTTTTCATGTTTTTCTTCCTTCTGCTCCTCATTTGGACCTTGGGGGGCTCAGTCCGGTGCTCCAATGTGGGTCTCCGTCTGTATCGCCATCCATCGTCGGATGAAGGTTCCCTCTGGTCTTGCCTTCTTTGCTCACGTTCTCTTTCCTTCTGCTTCTCGTCTGGACCTAGGTAGTTAAGTCCAGTGTTTCAGTGTGGGTCTCTGTCTCTATCTCCATCCATCGCCAGGTGAAGGTTCTATGGTGATAAGCAAAATATTCATCAGTATGGTTATGGGCCAAGGCGGTTCAGGCACCCTCTCCTCTGTCCAGAGAACAATCTGGG